TAAAATATTTTTGTAATTAAACGGGATACTAATTAAAGGTTAAATTTTGATATTAATATTTTTTAATGTGTTTACCGTGTATAACGCGAATCAATATTTTAATTATATATAAAAAAATAACCAACTTGTGAGAAAACTAGTAATTTAAATTTTCCCGGGAAAGTTAAGAAAAAAAAAACAGAATACCTGCCTTGATTAGTAAAAAAAAAAACATGGTAAGTATTCGTTAGTATAGTGACGATCTAACGGTTTACGTAAGAAAACAAAAGAAGTAACAAATCGATCTAACGATTTGCGTCATTCCAAACGTCTTGGTTATAACTCTCTCCATATTCCAGAAGCTCTTCCAATAAACTATCGTCTAAATACTCAAACTCAATCACTTCCTTCCCGTCACCACCACCTCCTCTGTACTCTGACGACGAAGAAGCCACTCCATTCTCGCAGCCGCCACCTGAACCGTCCCTCATCAATGGGTACTCATGAGGGAAATTGAGAATGGCCTTGTGTCCTCTCATGGCGAAAGCGGCTCTATCGTAGGCTCGAGCTGCGTCTTCCGCTGTGTTAAACGTCCCGAGCCAGACACGAGCACCGTGTCTGGCTGAGTCGCGTATCTCAGCCGCATATTTCCCCCATGGACGCTTCCTTACACCTCTGTATTTCACCTCATTCTTGTTAGACTCTCTATGTTCCATAAATAAGTTTATGTAAGCTTTTAAGTTATATCTTTTTGCATGTACATGAGTTGATAGTGGTGATAATTTATACGTTGGAGTAAAGTGACTCACTAGAAAATCGAGTGGATCTTATTTTAACGCACGTGTTGGTTTTCAAAAGCCTCCTTCTAATCATGATTCATGAATAAAATTAAATGAAGGGGTGAATCGCAATTTAAAATGTTGTGTACGGTATTGTAGTATTCAAGGAAACTATTGGGGTTGAGTAAAAAATGGAAATTATTGTGGCTGCTCTGTATCCAGTGTAATTTAGGATGAATTGAGGGGTTAAAATGAAAATATTGAAATTGTGAGTGAAGTCCAATGAATCTGGATGGTCAAGGTGACGGCTAAAAATTGACAGAAAGTATTTTTATGACAACGGACCAAAAAAGTTCTCAGCCTCTCACATTTTTCTCTGGTCAAGATCTTTTTTCTTTTTTCCCTTGTAATTAATTGTCACGTGCCAACTTTGACCGCACGTGTAGTAGATTCTAGTCTTTTTAAATTTCAGTTTGACCATCATCAACAGGCACATAGAATTGGGGTGTTTGAATCTTATTAAATATTCTGATATACTATACACACAATTATATTTATACTCGAAAAGAACAATAAAAAAAAAAGATAACACTACATTAGACGATATAAATAGGGGCAATTACAAAAATGCAAGTATACACATTTGCAAGAATGCCACTTAGAGGTACTCATTTGGAAGAATGCCATTAATTATAGATTTATAAAGCCTATATCTTAAAATTTTAAACCTTAAAAAATGTTTTGACACCTAAAACTCCATAAACACTCATAATTAAACCCTAATAGAACATAATTAACCCAAACATAAATGATATAAAGAAAAATAATTTTGAAAAAGTGGCATTTTTGTAAAAATTTCAAAAGTGTGACATTTTTCTAAAGTGACACTTAAAAAGTGGTATTTTTTGAAATTTCTCATAAAACTATTACTTATACTTGTCGTTCATCTATTTTAATGCGGTCAAAATAATATAAGGTTTGACACAATTACTTTAGAAAAATTTCAAAAAATGCCACTTTTTAAGTGCTAATTTATAAAAATGTCACACTTTTGAAATTTTTACAAAAATGTCACTTTTTCAAA